GCAGATTTAGCAATGGAATCATGAGACAGTCCTAATGAAGGTGACCCTGGGCTGAGTGCCTGAGTGATTTTCGGGCTCTGAGAAACCCCCTTCTCAGACATGGGCTTCCCTCTCTCTAACCCAGTGGAAAAGCCAGCAGAAATCTGCTGTGCAGCCCTTTCACTTCCGAACATCCAGAGACAACAATGTTGACAGCCACAGGCCACAGCACTGTGCAATTCTGTTGGACACGTTGCAAAGGAAAACCACCAGCAGCTGTCTGAAGCTGGTTTTCTCTTATTAAAATTTGGTTAATAAAGCCTGTTCCATGAAACACACCAGATGAAAAACCAGCCGTCCTCAAGAAGGGCTTATTGCAGCCTGGGAAAGATACTGTTTTGTCCAAGTCAGAGGTTTCTATCCACTTGAACACCTCTGCATGGACTTGGGTGCTCTGGGATAATACAGAGGGAGTTGGAAGCCTGGTGCTACCCTGTGAGCGCATTCCCTTTTCTGTCTTTGGGAGTGGGAGCAGACTGAGATACGGGAAACTGAGAGAAACCTGTGTGAGGAGGGTATGGAATCATGCACAACTGTGTGGGCTGAGTACGAGTGGATTCAAAAGGACACAAAGGTTGGTGTGAGAGGATGAGTACCTTCCAAACAGGGGCCCAGATGGCTCATTTTGGTATCCTTAACATAGTGCACTTGTCACACAAGGTAGGGATTTAGTAAGTACAATTCAAGTAAAGGTCAAGTCTACACTTTCATTCACCCGTAATTTCATCCTGCCCCATTTTATACCTTACTGCCTTTGCCCTTGCACTTAAAATATACACCAAAATAAAAGCACCTCAAAACCCCAGTGAGTTTCTAACCAGTCACACGCTGACACACACACTTACATGTTCAGAATCTCTCACTGATTCTCGTTCTCTCTCAATCTCACATTCACTTTGTATCTCTTCATCTCCAGCATTGTTGCCGGAGTTGGAGAAAGGGTAGAATAGCACTTACTTTTTTGATTTTTCCAAATTTTCACCAACCAGTTCACAAAAGCACAAGGATGAAGAATTAGAAAAGTGGAGGGAGGACCTGGTGCAGTGGCTCACACCTGTAATTCTAACACTTTGGGAAGTTGAGGCAGAAGGATCGCTTGAGTCAAGGAGTTCAAGACCAGCCTGAACAACATAGAAAGACCCCATCTCTACCAAAAAAAAAAAAGAAGAAAAAATTGGCTGGGTGTGGTGGTGGATGCCTGTAGTCCCAGCTACTTAGGAGGCTGAGGTGGGAGGATTGTTTGAGCCTGGGAGGTCAAAGCTGCAGTGAGCGATGAACCCACCACTGCATTCTAACCTGGGTGACACAGTGAGACCCTGTCTCAGAAAAAAAAAAAAAAAAAAGGAAGGAGACAAGAGCAAGATGATGGGAGAGGGGAAGAGAAGAGAAAGAATAGGCGAGAAAGAAAACCAGAGAAGTTAAGCTTCCCATTGTAGGTAGGGAGTGAACTGTGAATGACAGTGCTTTTCCTCTATCAGGGTTAAGGAGGATGGCTCCCAGATTGCACAGCAGAGTGAGAGTCCTGCAAAGATAAACTGCTTTGGATGCACTGACTTGTGGAGAAGGAGAAAAAAGGAGTGGAACAATCTACATCCTGTCATAAATTCTGGCCATGCATTTTTCTTGAAGAGTTTAGCTTCTCATGGATATGACTTGTGTTTTTGTATAGCTCCTTTTCATTAAGCTGATTCTAGCATAAAGTTAAATGACAAATGCTTTGTTGGGAAAATGTTAGACCACTTGGTGGATGCAGATGCCTTCTTGGCAGCTGTGATGGTTAATTTTTTATGTCAACTTGGCTGGGCCATGGGGCGCCCCGATACTTGGTCAAACATTATTCTGGATGTTTCTGTGAAGGTATTTTTGGATAAGATTTGCACTTAAATCTGTGGACTTTGGGTATAGCAGATGGCCCTCCGTAATGTGGGTGGGCCTCATCCAATCTGCTGAAAGCCTAAATAGAACAAAAGGCTGACCTCAGAGCAAGAGGGAACTCCCCAGCAGACTGCCTGTAGACTTCATCTACATTGGCTCTTCCTGCTTGTCCAGCAGACTGCCTTGGATTTGGACTGCAAGTCTTTCCTGAGAGGCCTCTCCCATCAGATTTTGGACTTGCCAGCCTCCACAATATCTCAAAATCAATCAATCTATCTATCTATCTATCTATCTATCTATCTATCTATCTGTCTATCTATCTGTCTATCTATCTGTCATCTATCCTGTCCATACACCTGTCTGCACTTTATTGATTCTGCTTCTCTGTAGAACTCTGACTAATCCAGCATCCCCTAAGCTGACAAGCAAGGCTGAGAGGTAACAAATGTGCTCTTGCCTTTCCTAACCAGTACCATAACTGAGGAGTGTGGACTAAGAGGCCATGAGCCCAGGATCGTAAGTCAGTGGGCCTAGGTGATGTGTGAGCCTTGTCCCTTCCTAGTGCTCTGCCCTGGATAGATTACCTAAGCTCCAGAAACAATTACTCAGATGACTAAAGCATTGCCAACCTCTGATGTGTTCATTTTCTATTGCCATTGTAACAAATTACCATACACTCCATGCTTGAAACAAGGTAAATTTATTCTCTTACATTTCTGCAGATCAGATCAAAGTGTCAGCAGGGCATCTGAAGGCTTCAGCGAACAATCTGTTTCTTGCTTTTTTCAGCTTCCGGAGGCCACTTACATTCTTTGGATCATGGCCGCTTCCTCACATCACTCCAACCTCCTGCTTCTGTTGTTGCGTCTCCTGCTACTCCTTTTATCTCCTGCCTCCCTCTTATAAGGCCCTTGTGATTGCAGTGGGCCCACCCCAGTCACCCAGGATCATCTCCTTCTGTCAGTGTCCTTAATCATATCTGCAAAGTCTCTTTGGACATTTAATACAACATTTATACATTCCGGGGATTAGGATGTGGACATCATCGGTGGTGGGCAGGGGCGATTATTCTACCTACCATACCTGGTCAGAGGTAATTGGTTACAGATGGAAGGTGAGATAGGGGAAGAATTCTAAAATTTCATGGTTGGTACCTAAAATTATTTTATATTTTAGAAAAGTGCTCGATTATGTGACAAATGCAGAAATTTGCAACAAAGAAATGCTTTCTTGGCTCCTAAAGAGGTGGACATGTGTTGGTACTATATTTTTATTTAACAATGACAATTCTGCTCCTAGAATCATCAGAGTAAAGCTTCCCCCGTCTCTAAAAAATTAACATAAAAATGTCTTAAAAAGTATAATATTGTGGCCAGCTAGGTACACAAATATGTGGGATTTCATGTCCTGACAGATTCACTAAGCATTCCATCCAGTCTCCCGTAAGGGACCTTTGGCAGGAATTAAAGCCTTTTAAGAGAGACCCTGAGAACCTCCCTCAAAACATTAATTCAAGTATACACCATCATTTGTATTCTAGAACACGTCATCCCAACATAAGTTCTAGAATTGTTGTGCCTTCAACATGCTGAGTACAGTTTTGAGAATCAGTCACTTTCAATGCTTCCCTCTTGGCCAACTTTAGGGAAGTTTCTGGCCTCTCTTTTTGGTGCATGGCTGTATTTTGAGTGCTAAGCATATTGTCATAACCTTTGCTTGGTCTGTTCTTAGTGGAAAAAACAAGACTTAACTCTATAGAAAAGGGAGAGCATTAAAAAAATCAGTTTTCAAAAATCATCCTGATGCTCAATTTAGTTCAACAATTGTTGGGGTGGCTACAATAATTTCAGGCCGGGTGCGGTGGCTCACACCTGTAATCTCAGCACTTTGGAAGGCGGGTGGATCACTTGAGGTCAGGAGTTTGAGACCAGCCTGGCCAACATGGTGAAACCCTGACTCTACTAAAATTATAAAAATTAGGCTGGGCACGGTGGCTCAAGCCTGTAATCCCAGCACTTTGGGAGGGTGATGCGGGTGGATCACCTGAGGTCAGGAGTTCGAGACCAGCCTAGCCAACATGGTGAAAAACCCCGTCTTTACTAAAATGACAAAAATTAGCCAGGTGTGGTGGCATGCACCTGTAATCCCAGTTACTCGGGAGGCTGAGGCAGGAGAACTGCTTAAACCTGGGAGATAGAGGTTACAGTGAGCTGAGATCACGCCACTGCACTCCAGCATGGGTGACAGAGCAAGACTCTGTCTCAAACAAACAAATAAATAGATAAATAAAATAACAAAAATTAGCCGGGCATGGTGCCACGCACCTGTAGTCCAAGCTACTTGGGAGGCTGAGGCAGGAGAACTGCTTAAACCTGGGAGATAGAGGTTACAGTGAGCTGAGATCACGCCACTGCACTCCAGCATGGGTGACAGAGCAAGACTCTGTCTCAAACAAACAAATAAATAGATAAATAAAATAACAAAAATTAGCCGGGTATGGTGGCACACGCCTATAATCCTAGCTAATCAGGAGGCTGAGGCAGGAGGATCACTTGAGCCTGGGAGGCAGAAGTTGCAGTGAGCCAAGATTGTGCCACTCTACTCCAGCCTGGGTGACAGGGTTAGACTCCATCTCAAAAAAAAAAAAAAAAAAAGAAAAAAGAAAATTTCAGATAGCCAGTGAAGACTCATGGTTTGAGCCTGATCTGATGGTTAGGACTCACCTAAACGTGGGCACCCCAGGTTGCTTGCTCTTTTCTGGTGATGGCACTCTCTTACGGAGTTCACCTGCCTTTAGGCTCAAGGACTTCAAATAAATACTGGAGAACTGGTCTAGAGCTCAAGAGTGATTTATTCTCCCCATACCAAGGACATTTTACTACATATAATTATGCCTCCCCTCTTCTTCCTTCTTCTTCTTTTTAACTGTAAAATTCTCTTCATTATCTATTTCAAATTGATTTTAGTTCAGTCAATCTAGTTCCCCTTGTTGAAACATTCCAGTCATTTCAAGCCCTTCAGACATCTTTGGTTCTGTTACTTCACTGTCCATTTTTGTTTCCTCCTTTTCTTTTTAAAGCTTGACTTTACTGATGGAAGAAGGACATTTGCTTGTTTTTCAGTGTGATGTGAATTGCCATCATGGCAAAGGAGACCAACCATGTTATAGCTCCTGTCACTGTGTAGGCAAGACCTAAGAAAAGGCTATTACCCCCACACCATGTCAGGGTGGAGAGAACAACTGATTTTTCTCCTTGGAACCTGGTCACTGGGAAGTCTAAGAAGACCTGTTAAGGATCTGTCTCAACACTTCACATTTGTAGTATTGCATATACTGAATATATTAGGTTGACGTATATAAAATTGCGCTTTTTTGTTGGTAAAAAATGGTGAAATATTTAATCTCATATGGTGCAACTTAATCGTTACCAAGCACTGCCCTGTATCTTGCTGGAATGAAAATGAAAACAAGCCTTCCCTCTACATAGTTGTAAGCTACAAAAGAGATTCGGACACAGATCTGAACGACTTACAGACAACTGAATAATGAACAAATATATTTAATTTCCTTTGGCAAACCCAAGGAAATTAAAAGAATACAAACCTAAATTTTTAAATATGAGTCAGGAGACCCAGGCAGGCTATAGTCCTTTAATAGGCTAAGGTTTGAATTCCTACCTCAGGGAAAATTCTTTAAGGGGAGTGAAGAACAAACAAACAAACAAAAAGATCACAAAACATTTTTGGTGGTCGAACTAAAGGTGGTACATTCATTTGGGTTTTGGCAAGGCCAGTATCCCTATGCTGGGGAGAAAGTGTTTGAAGTGGGTTTGCTATCGTTAGCATTCTAATGATGTCATTTTGATTATACATGTGGCCTGAGGTTTTAAAACATCTGGTGCCTTTTGTAAACCAAACTAATAAACAAAGAAAGGCTTCTCATAGCAACGGCACAGGACGGAGGCATTTCCCAGCAAAGCTATTAAAGGGCCTCAAATCACTTGGCAACGTGCTATTTAAAGGCACAAGGAAAATTAGTAGGGAACTAGTTCTGTCTCTCCTTTTCCGTCAGAATTCCTCCTTGTCACCAGGTCCTTGGGTGCCACCTCAACCCATCTGCCTGTTTTCTCCCTCCCTCAGTTCTCTGTGAGAGGGTCTTCTCCTCATACACAGAACATCTTTTTTCCCCTTAGAAGTGGTAGGCACTTTCTTAGTCTGGTTGGATGATACTCACACCAGAGCTCTACCCAGGTAGTGCAGGTATAGGCCTGAAGCTTAGCATTGAAGTTCTACGTACACAGATTTTCATTTGAGAGGGATTAGCATGAAGACATGACTGTGAATGTAGTCACCCAGGGAGAGCATGTCCAGAGAGGAGAAACAGAATGTCTCTGTTATTGGGAACATGCCTCTCCCTCATCCTCCCAACCCCAAAGTCATCCTAACGCATTGTGGTATAGCAGTGCATGAAGTTTTTTTCCTGCTCCTTGAATGCACCCATAACTGCTTTAATGGTAAGGCAGCCCCAAAATTGACAGAATCAGAAGGCCTAACTTGAGAGACTAGTTTTAAGCAACTTTCAACCTCTGCTTAAAATTTTTTGAAGGAGGCCAGGCACGGTGGCTCACGCCTGTAATCCCAGCATTTTGGGAGGTCAAGGCGGGTGGATCACGAGGTTGGGAGATCGAGACCACCCTGGCTAACACGGTGAAACCCCGTCTTTACTAAAAATACAAAAAAAATTAACCGGGCGTGGTGGCGGCGCCTGTAGTCCCAGCTACTCGGGAGGAGGCAGGAGAATGGCGTGAACCCGGGAAGCGGAGCTTGCAGTGAGCCGAGATCTCGCCACTGCACTCCAGCCTGGGCCATAGGCGAGACTCCATCTCAAAAAAATAAATAAATAAAATAAATAATAATAATAATAATTTTGAGGGAGAGAGGAGTTTGCTGAAATTCTTATTCAAAGAGTTTACTCTTTGATCTGTACCTGTAATGCTCCACGAGAGGCAATTCGTGGCTTTCATTTTCATTTTCACAGAATTAGACACCCTGCTAAAGGAACTAACTGAAGGCATAGCTCCACCTGGTCAGTAAACAAAAGGAGACAAAAAGTTGAGAGGCAGAGATGGCATCTCATCAGTGGGGGCCTTTCTGACTGAGAAATGCGCCCACTTCCCTGTCCGAATGGAGATGTCCACACACCTGTTCTAGGATGGAAAGGAAGAAAAGTTGGAGCAGGGAACTGGAGCACATGCTGTCATTCCCTTCTCCCCAAGAATTTCTTATTCAGCCTCCCTGAAAGGTAAAGAAACTAAAGAGGTGGACAATTTTGTGTTAAAATTGACCCATTAGGGGTCCCATTGAACAACGAGCCAGGAGCCTGGGGAGGATGAACACAGCGGTGCTAACTGGGCTGCAATTTCAAAGTCATGTAAAAGCCCTGGAATGATTCCGCCTCCAGAGAATGCTACCTCAGGGAGAATCAGGAGGAGACTTTAAAATTCAATCTAGGCCGGGCGCGGTGGCTCAAGCCTGTAATCCCAGCACTTTGGGAGGCCGAGGCGGGCGGATCACAAGGTCAGGAGATCAAGACCATCCTGGTTAACACGGTGAAACGCTGTCTCTACTAAAAATACAAAAAATGAGCTGGGCACGGTGGTGAGTGCCTGTAGTCCCAGCTACTCGGGAGGCTGAGGCAGGAGAATGGCGTGAACCCGGGAGGCGGAGCTTGCAGTGAGCTGAGATCCGGCCACTGCACTCCAGCCTGGGTGACAGAGCGAGACTCCGTCTCAAAAAAAAAAAAAAAATTCAATCTAAAGAACAGAGTTAGTGTAAATTGCATTTAAATATATAATTTCTTAAAGGTAGTGTTTGGTGCCATGCTAAAGTTAAGTTCTGTTTGTTTTCAAATCAAGAGCTACATTTGTATTTTTACATTAAGTGAAAAAATTCAGACTCATATTTAAGCATGTGTCAGCTTGGGCAGCAAGGGAGACACCATCTCTTAAAAAAAAAAAAAGAGAGAGAGAATTAGCTGGGCACGGTGGTGAGTGCCTGTAGTCCAAGCTACTTGAGAGACTAAGGTGGGAAGATCACTCGAAGCCAGGAGGTCAATACTGCAATGAGATGTGACTGCACCACTGTACTCTGGCCTGGGCAACAGAGCAAGACCCTGTCTCAAAAGTAAATATGTAAATAAAAGTAAAAATAAGCATATGTCTCCTAAGTTGGACCATATATCCCTAATCGTTAGGGCACCATCTCCCACATGCTGGCTTTGTGCCTAAGGGAGGGAGGAACATGGCGTCTTCAGTGTAGAGCCTGTCGCACACTTCACATGGATTTGGATGAACTGGACCTGTCCCTTGAGTCCAGAGCTCCTGTGGTCTGTGATACTTTTCCCTAGAATAAAAGGTTCTGTAGGCTCAGTTTTAGTAATTTTTAGTCTATATTTACTTATCAAACTCCTATTTTCATAGTCTTCCATCTCCTTCCATCCTATCTGGCATGCTTCTCACAGTTTTTTTTAACAGATCTCTAGGCCTGGTATTATTTAATCTTTCTTTTCTTTTCTTTTTTTTTTTTTGAGACAGTCTCAGTCTGTCACCCAGGCTGGACTGCAATGGTGCGACCTCGGCTCACTGCAACCTCCACCTCCCAGGTTCAAGCGATTCTCCTGCCTCATCCTCCTGAGTAGCTGGGATTATAAGCATGTGCCACCATGCCTGGCTAATTTTTTTTGTATTTTCAGTAGAGACCGGGTTTCACCATGTTGGTCAGGCTGGTCTCAAACTCCTGACCTCATGATCTGCCTGCCGCGGCCTCCCAGAGAGTCGAGACTGAGAGAATTCTACAAAAACAAAAACAAAAAAAAAGCAAAACCAAAACCAAAACCAAACAAACAAACAAACAAAGCCTTGCTAAACTAACCTTTATCTTCCTAGTTATGTTTCTACAATTGCCATTCTTTGTTCAGCCTAGCATATGAGCACTTAGACTTAGTCGCTTCTTTTTTTAGTCTCCATTTTTCTTGTAAGGGCTCACATGTACATGTAAAGGCATAACATTCATATGCTTTTCTGTTGTTAATCTGTCAGTCCCAGCTTTAACCCCTGGGAGGGAATAGGAGAATTTTATCCTCCCTTACGCATGTTTGGTTTTTTTTTTTTTTGGTATACAGATTTGATTGGAAAATAGAAAAGTATAGAATCTCAACAACCAGCAGCCAGGTTTTCTTTCATCTCCAGAAAGAAAAGTGGTATGAAAGGATACTATAGGTTATGTTGAAACTGTAATTACCAGCAGGCAAGCCTTCTATAAAATGGTGTGTTCGATTGAGTCGACCATACAGTTTTTTGAAAGTGGGAAAGGCAGCTGCCCGCATCCACACAATGAAGTCATCATTGAGGAAGCCGTTGTTTCTTGGATCCTTTTTATCCAAGTCATAGATAGGCTTGGGCCAGTTTGGAGGCTTTGTGGTTCCTGTGGGAAGAAAATAAGTGATATGATAGAGAAAAAAAATCATCTATTCTCTTCAGCTTTCTTTAGAATGTAGAGAATGAAAGAACTTCTGCATTCTTGAGGAAATAGAAATAGAAATTATACTTTTAAAAAAAGTGTGTATGTGTGTGTTAGCTACCTGAGTGTGCAACCATGAAAAATAATGGCTTTAAAGATTCTAAAGGAATGATCATGATATTTTCATTAAGTTAATAAAGAGCAGAATATTGGCTGGGTGTGGGGGCTCATGCCTGTAGTCCCAACACTTTGGGAGGCCCAGGTGGGTGAATCACTTGAGGTCAGGAGTTCAAGACCAGCCTGGCCAACATGGTGAAACCTATTTCTACTAAAAATACAAAAATTAGCTGGGCATGGTGGTGCACTCCTGTAATCTCAGCTACTTGGGAGGGTGAGGCAGGAGAATTGCTTGAACCTGGAAGGTGAAGATAGCAGTGAGCCGAGATCGCACCATTGCATTCCAACCTGGGTGACAGAGTGAGTAAGACTCTGTCTCAAAAAAGAAAAAAAAAAAAAAAAGAGCAGACTATCAAATTATATGCATACTGTGTCTTCAACTACATTCAATGCATGTAAAGCATTTAAAAAAATAGAACAAAATGATCATGGTGGTTGCATTCAGTGATAAACATAGGAAATACCTCTTTAAAACTTTTATTGGAAATATCTTTATTTTATTTAATTTTACTAGTCATCTAAGGAGTGCAAATTAAACCAAGATACCATTTTCATCTAAAAATTGGTTAATATTTAACAACAAAAAAGTGACAACCATTGAAGAGGCAGTAGAAATGAGAACTCTTGTACAGAGCGGATAGGTGCACTAACTTCTTCAGCAATCTAGGAACATGCATTGAATGCTTTAATATTTTGCATACATCTTGGCCCAGAAATTCTGTTTCTAGGAATGTATTCTAAGGAAATAATCATGGCATGAAGACTAGGTTACACAGATGTTCACTGCAGCACTGCATCTAAGAGCTAAAGCTGGAAGGAGAGAGGAGAAATTGGTGAGTGGGAGGAAGTGGAAAGCAAAGGCATTGTGAGCCTGTTCTCAAGCCAGGAAGCCTGGTAGGTTTGGGAGCTGCAGAACTGTTGGAAGCACAGGGTGGAGGGTGGTTCCAGGAGATGAGCCGTTGGGTTTACCGTCATTCTCACACTTCCCACTTTACCGCAGGAGGCATGTTTGTCTCTCCCACTCTATAGGAGACTTGAGAACAGTGTCATCCTCATCTGTGTTTTCATTAGCATTGAGTCTAGTGCCTGGCCCATAGTAGGTATTAAATACATGCTTGATAAAGGGATGAAAGGTTCCAGTTAAATCCGATGACAAAAACCATTAAGAATTGTAAAGAGCTAGTCAGAAAGAGTAAATTGCTTAATGAGAATTGTACTTCCATAAAGCCAGTTCTACTATTTGTAGGATGCTAGAATGCTAAATAGGGAGTCACTCTTTCTCAACTCTGACTACTGACTAGACTATGTTCTAAAAGAAACCCAGACCTGTTTTCTAAGCTTGGGCTATGATGCTTGTAAAAGTATATGTGGAGTGTTGTTGGGTTAATCTGCTGACATATGTTTCTACACTCATATTCCCTTGAGAAATAATCCTTTGCTGGAGCATCTTCTGCAAATATTGTACAGTCTACTTATTTTGGCTCTTCCCAAGACTCAATCACTGATGCTAGAAGAATTTTGATCAAAACTGAAATTGCCTTTGGCACCTGCACTGTGGACTTCACCTTCTGTCTACTTTGGCCTGAGCTCACGACTGAAGGCAGTGTGTCCTATGAGCCACTGACATCAGAATCACCCAGGGGGCTTGTTAAAAATGCAGGTTCAAGCATGTCCTCCCCTACCAACTCCTACTTCTATGCCATCCCATGTCTTCAGAGAGTATGAAAAGTATGGTCTAAGAGACATCAACTTCATTTTCTAAGTTCATTCGGGTCATTTGTATTGATCCATTTATTCATCTATAAGCATTTCTTTTTTTAATAAAATTATTTTTTTCTTGGGAGCATAGATTCAAGATGGCCTGAATCTATGTTCCTACGCATGTCTTATACAAAACTGCAAAAGACCCAATCTCTTTCTTCAAGGATTACAGGCTGTGGGCATGACAGGTATATAAACAGATAATTAGAGTATAATGTGGTAACTCTTACAATAGAGGTAAGAACAAAGTGCAGCAGGAGATGAGAGAAAGCTAAGGACCCTTTGTGTATAGGCCTACAGTTATGTGGTAAGAAAATGCTACAGAATGTGGCCAAGTCCCTTTTGAAAACAGTAATTCAATTATAGATACAGTGACCATATATATCAGTTTGCCTAGCACAGTCCCAGTTTATGTCTGTTGTTCATTATCTCATCTGATTTAGCTTGTATCCCACACAAGGTACATATAATTTCATCCTTCCAGCATCCAGCCATGATCTTAGCTAGTAATGTGTGAGATGTCCATGTGCAGTGAATGGAATGCTTACTTTTACATATGATTATACATGAAAGTCAACCAGAGACCCTTCCAGTCAAAACATAATAAAACATATCCCTGTAACCCATGCAAGCTGTTAAGCATTCCAGCCAGTTAGGCAATAGTTTCTTTCTGTGTTAGCCTATGAGATGTGTGAAGCTGCCAGGCTGCAAATCAATGGGGTCAGTGAGAAACATGGAAAATTATGGGTTAGGTTATGGATACATGATGCATGTGTGGGAACTAGATACTGAGCAGTCCTGCTGAGAGTAGTTTGAACTCTCTTGCAACAGTGGTTCTGTTACTTTATTTTATTTTATATTTATTTATTTTGAGATGAAGTTTTGCTCTTTCGTCCAGGCTGGGGTGAAGTTGGCTCACTCCAACCTCCGCCCTCCAGGTTCAAGCAATTCTCCTGCCTCAGCCTCCTGAGTAGTTGGGATTATAGGTGCCTGCCCCCATGCCTGGCTAATTTTTGTATTTTTAGTAGAGATGGGGTTTCACCACGTTGGCCAGGCTGGTCTCGAACTCTTGACCTCAGGTGATCCACCCACCTTGGCCTCCCAAAGTGCTAGGATTACAGGGATGAGCCACTGCACCTGGCCTTGTTACTTACTATATGGTGTGACTATATAACTATTGTATTTGGTAACAGTTTTTTATTTGCTAATAATTCATTTTCGCTGTGAAGAGCTAAAAAATGGAAAACACGTATTTCCTGTAAAGTTCAGTACAGTTTTTTAAGATGATTGAACGTTATACTTGCAATATTGGTTGATATTTACCCCCCACCATGGGCACCGTAGTGGTCTCAAATGACCATGTGAAAATCAAAAGATATACATCTGCCAAAGAACATTAGAATCTACTTCAAAAGTTTATGCTTATTTTTTAAAGATTGTGTCCAAAGACAACAATCTGTAGAAATTGCACTTATATGTCATTGTGTGAGCATGACTTTTCATTTAGATCAAATGAATTTCCTTCTAGTTTCACTTTTTTATGACATTTTGTTTTGTTTTGTTTGTTTAGAGACGGGGTGTTGCCATGTTGCCCAGGCTGGACTGGAACTCCTGGGTTCAAGCGACCCTCCTCCCCAACCTCCTTCTCGAGAGCAGAGATTGCAGGTGTGCACAGCTATGCCTAGCTACAGGTTGTTGATGTTTTCTTTTTTTGTAATCAAAGAGCAGCTTTTAATGTGTTGGCTTAGTGCAAAAATAATTTGTAAATAGTTAAATGAGGTCAATTTTATATGAATGTATTCAGATACTTCAAATAGAAAAATCAAATAGGTTAATTATAATAACGATTTGATTTTTGGTTTGATTCCTCATGAAGTCAAAGCAAACCTTTTAGAAGTTCAATCTTTGATGATGAAAACTCTGACATTATTATAAACGTTACTATAAGTTCAGTTACAAAATTCAACAATTGGCCAGGTGTAGTGGCTCATGCCTATAATCCCAGCATTTTGGGAGGTCAGGGAGGGTGGGCCACTTGAGCCCAAGAGTTTGATACCAGGCTGGGCAATATGGTGAAATCCCATCTCTATAAAAAACAAACAAAAAAACCCCAAACAAGTTAGCTGGGTGTGGTGGCACGCACCTCTAGTCCCAACTACTCAGGAGGCTGAGGTGGGAGGATAGCTTGAGCCAGGGAGGTGGAGGTTGCAGTGAGCTGAGATTGTGTCACTGCACTCTAGCCTGGGCAACAGACAGAGACTCTGCCTCAAAAAAACCCCCAAAACCAAAAACCAAAACCCCTTAAGCAGAATTCAACAATCAGATTTAAATTGTTTGGTTCTGTAGAGACAACATAACTGCAAATTTGGTGGAGCACAACATCAGAGTAAAGATAATGCTGTTAGTAAATTGAGAAATTGACAGAGAAGAAATGTACTTAAAATTAGTCATGGTACATACATAATTCACAATTGTATCCAAACAGGCTACAATATTTTGTTAATCAAAAGAAGAGCTGTAGTTGTACAAATTCAAGTATTTTTGTATATTAACAGTTAGAAAAACTGAATTTTCTTTTTCTTTTTTTTGAGATGGAGTCTCACTCCGTGGCCCAGGCTGGAGGGCAGTGGCGCAATCTTGGCTCACTGCAACCTCCGCCTCTCGGGTTCAAGTGATTCTCCTGCCTCAGCCTCCCAAGTAGCTGGGACTACAGGCACCCACCACCATGCCCGGCTAATTTTTATATTTTTAGTAGAGACAGGATTTCACCATATTGTCCAGGCTGGTCTCGAACTCCTGACCTTGTGATCTGCCCCCCCTCAGCCTCCCAAAGTGCTGGGATTACAGGCATGAGCCACCGCATCTGGCCAAAAAACTGAATTTTCCTTTGCAAAATTTTTATAATGACACATGTTAAATTAAACAAATACTTCAATGTGGTATTATATGTGGTCTCTCATTGTTGGGCATCATCAACCAGACAGAATTTTAGAAGGGTTTGAACCTCTAAATAACTTTTTTCTGTA